AAAAAAAGAAAAGGCTGATGGGTTTCTAATAGGCTAAACTGTGTATGTGAATTGGTGATTTTGCAAAAAGCTATTAAGATTTTGTCCCAGTGAGGGAATTCTGAATTTGAAGTATGAAGTTGCAAGCAGTGCTTCTCTTTTGCTGAAGGCTATTTGGTGATCTATGTGCCTCCATTAACTATGTATTTATTATAATCTCTATGTTTGGAAGTTTCCTGCCATTATTTCTGTGAATGGGCTTGTTTATGCCATTTGTATTGACTTCTCACTTTTCACATATTTTATTTATTATTAGATTATTCTTCTTTGTATAGTCCTGAAGTCTTGGGATCAATTTTTCATTTGTTCATGCTCTTTGTAAGGTGTCTGTAAATCCTCGTTTGTCATAAGCATCACCGTCCTCTAGTTCTGAGTGTTTGTCCTCACATTCATCTCTGCTGCCTCCTTTAGTCTCACTATGTGTTTAATCTCCTGGATTTCTGTCTGTCTCTCTTTCCTTCTTTGCACTGGGAATGGAACTCATTGCCCTTTGCTTTCCTGGCAGGCAATTCTCCTGGATTCCTAATTTTAAAATGCACTTCAATTTTTTGGTGTACTTGTCGTTCACACTTTGTATCATTTTACTTAGTTCATCCAGCCACTGTTAATGTCTTCTAAGAGCTGCAACACCTTGTTTTCATATTACTTCCATCATATGTTTAGTTAGGTCTTCTCTAATGTTGTGGAGTATCTCTTTGAGTTGTTTTCTAACCACCTCCTTACTTTCCAGTAATTCATGTTTATGGCTGATACAGTAATACTTGCACATTGTAGGCTTCACAAAGAAAAGCATTTCCAAAATTTTGCTTCTGTTTTCAATCGCGACACCAGGTGACACAAATGACCACAGCCGTCTTCCCCACATAAACATAAATGCAATTTTTGTCCCCAAAACTGTATGACAATTTAAGTTTTTACTCTTATGTACTAAAGTACAATTCTGCATACTGGAGCCCATTAGAATGGCTTTCAAATATTGTGATATTTTGTGAAGTATTTAAAGCTTTTTTTTCCAACTTAATTTTGTTTGTTGGGGGGAGGTTTGTGCTCATGTTGATGGATGCTTCTAATGTAACAAATTTGCTGCTATTGTACAAATAACCTTGGCTGTTTTTCCATGCTGTACTTGCTTTGCAATGAGGTACTATGGCTTTCACTCGTTGTACTCTTTCCCAAGGCCCCAATAGTCAACAACTTGTTTGAGAACAGAGGATGCAGTGTATTTAGCACACCAACCATTTTCTCAGGAATCATACTATAGTACTTTTAATGTCCAAAGGCATTCTGAATGTTGGCTTATACAGAAATAGTGATAGTCACGTGACCCGGTTAATAACATGTGAAACAGTGACAGTAGTATCGCCAAAGAGATATTAGATATTAGCATACCATAAAGATTAGTTATACAGAACACTTAATCCTAGAGGAGAAAGTAAAATATAGTGAAATATAAATCTAGACTTACAGCTAATGTGAACTACATATAGCAATAATTATGCTGATAATGGTAGCAAGAAATTTAATACAAATTTTTCAGAGGTAAATGTTAGAAATTAATAAAGTAACTAGAGTATACTACTAAAATTTAAGGTTTGGAAATTTGGGATGCAAAAGGATAATTCTGAAAATTCAAATCAATGATAAGAGAAGGTGGAGAATATTTGGCTGTGAAGGATCTATTTGAGGAGTGAGGAGGATCTATGGAATTGGAAAAAATAAAGGAAAAGTCTGGAAACATAATTTTTTAAAAATTGAGCTAGAAGAAAGGCAAAAAACTTATAGAGAGTGAAATAAAAGAAAAGTAAATAAAGGGAGAAGATTTTAAATGGAGAAGAGGAAAAAATGGACAAGTAAGTAAGAAAAAAGTTTGAAGCATGTCTTGAGGAAAAGGAGGATAATCCAGTCGCAGTAGACTTATAGAGAAGACAAGAGAGAAGGAAAGAAGAAATAACACACACAAGGACTTAAAAAAATCCCTAAAAACAATGTTCACTCATAAAAAAGAGACAATTTAAAAAACAGCAAACAAATTTTAAAGAACCCAAAAGCAGGGAAGGAAAAGGAAATGTATCTGTGACTTCATGCCTGTGGTCTACAGTTTTGTGGCAATGTCTAATTCAAAATGTCTAGTTCAAAAATGACTCTGTTATCATCATTGTTAGACAAAGCAGGCCATCAGAGCCCTGATTTTTGCCAGATAATCAACATTCTAGCAGTAGAATGACGGTGGGATACTTGTTTTGGGGTTTCCAAACCCAAAGAAATTAATGATGAACCAGTTTTTGGACATGAGGTTGGGGCCAGAGTCATTTACCTTATAACACTCCTGAAATTGGTATTTTCCAGTGTCTTTGTTCCAAAGCTTGGAGAGGCTGATTTGATGTTGTTACCATTCTACCATCTCCCACGAAGTCTGAAATCCTCTCCACAAGTTTTGATACTATTATCTTGTCTAGCCTGTAAGTGAATGCTTGCAGGAAACTGAGAATGGCAAGACATCCAGAGGTGAGTGAGAGAATATTTTATACAAAATCAACAACTCTACTAAGAGAAGGTACAATGCATTAAGTGCTAGCAGGAGGAATTTAAGCACCTAAACTCCAGTTTGGTTTTTCTGGACAATGAGGGAGTTGTCATAGGTCTAGAGATCATATGATCTAATATATGTTCATGTACATGTACATGTATGTATCTGTGTATTGGGTTAACAATTTCTCTTAATTATTAGGGGAAGATCGGGTCAGCAATATTCCAAATGAGTGTACATGGAAGGTAAATAAAATGAGGCAAATGGAAAGATTTCAGGGCCCCAGAAGAATCAAAGCCCTCTCACAGAATTTGAGATTTTTTTTGATTCTAACACCAAAATCTCCTCTGGGCGGCCTGAATTTATTTATTCAACAGGAGAAGGGTGGGGAGTCCTCAAGAAGGATGAAATTACTCAGGGACTTCTGCAAGGAAGATATGAAATTATTCCTTAATAAGGATTAAATTAATCCACCCAGGTGTGAGATGCTTGAGGCTGTATTCCTTATCTAGTTGAGATCAGATCCTGGTGCTTTGTCAGTGATCTTGTGTTGTCCTTTGAGGCTTTCTAGCCTCATCTGCTCTTACACACCTTAGTAGGGATCAGTGACTTTTAGAATTTTAATTACTATGAGACTGTCACCCATCTTTAGACAGGGAGTCTAGACCTTGGAGAGACTCACATGAAAAGCAGCTCAGGGCTGCTTCATAGTGGTCTCCATCATCTATGTGTGTGTATATATATATATATGAATGTACACAACTTTTTGTTTGAGTGTATATTTTCATCCATACTATGTTTTTGTCAGTACCAAAAGCATGTAAAATATTTTTCTCTCAGGTTTAGCTCATGGAATATTTTGGAATAATTGTCTCAGTTCCCATGCTTTTAGCACTGTGGGGAAGGTAGGGCAAGGAGAAGAAAAGCATTAGCAAAACATTGCAACCTAACTCATCACCTGGTTCATTCTGCAGTGGAAAAGATGTACCGTGCTGAAGGGTAATTAAAATAGTTTAGGAAGACGTGGAATCTGAAGTCATTTATAATGTATCTCATCTCTTAAAATTGGAGAGAACTTATCTTTTTGTTCAAAACTTTCTTTAAAAGATACATAAAAAATGCCATGCTGCCAACATGAAAAATCAGCTTGAGTCATTTGTAGGAAATCAGATACATGTTGTGTTCATAAAGTTAAATAAGATAAATCAGACACACATGTGTATTCAGAAATCACCAAAAAAAAAATTCATGATTTAAGAAAAACATCCCAAGTGTAAGGATTTTAATATCCATTCATTGAGACATCAAGAGATTAACAAAAGTTATTTTCAGCATCTGCAATTACACTATATTCTCACAATAGAGGTGATTATTTTTCAGACTCTTATTAGTCCTGCAAACTGCTGCTTCCATAACCTTGATCAAAATGTCCTCTGAGATTGCCGCACATGCATTTTGAATTGCTTTGTAAAGGATAGCAATGTCATGGGATTTCTGTGGTAAACAATATATTTTAAGTAACCCAAGTACAAATACTAAAATGTTGAAGCTGGTTTGAATGAGGGAATCTTTGGGAATGTATATTGGATTAAAAAATTGTAATTTACCAAATTTTATATTTGACAACTGGATAGCATCCACCAATATGGTCACTAAACTTTTTGATTGTGGACACATAAGGAAAGACAAGAAAGATTAAAATGACAAATTGGAAGAAATGGGTAATGTTTATAAAATTTTTATTGTTACAATGTTTGCAGTGCATAACGAATACATTCCTTGTGTGCAGTTGATACATGTCCATGAAACATGAGACACCTTCATATTTTCAGTTTCTTCTCCCACTGCCTTCCCCTTCCCTCCTGTCCTGATTTTCCTGATTTTTTTCAAACCATGTATTTCCCTATTTCTCATTATCTGTCTTTCCTTCTCTCTCTTTTTTTTTTAATTTGGAGATTATCATGTAAGATCACCCCGGTGATATTTAATCTTTATGTCCAGTTTATTTCAATGAATATTGTCATCAAAAGGTTAATCTTTTTCCTTACAAATGACTCAAATTTTATTGAATTGTAGACTCACGCTGATAATTTTTTTTAAAGAACTGGTTATACAGTACCTGAAGAAGGATTTGATAAGATGTGGAGGGCGGATGAAATCCAAATGAAAGATGAAAATGTCAGGCTACTGTTTTTAAATTCTAGAAACTCCTGATCATGTTCATAGAGCAGACATGTTTGGGTTATGGTTGTCCTCAGGGTAGAATCATAGAAGTATTTGTCATTACTGCTTACGAGTCTGCATCAGTGCATTTTTCTCCTCAGCTGAGTGGTGTGGAGTGAAGATTTCAACAACTGAGGTCATGCTATCGGAAAATTATCCTATTTTCAAAGGTGGAATCGATAACCTCCAGTGTTCCTTGTACTTTTAAAAAAATATAAGTGCAATTTAAAATATATGCTATTCAGATAAGGAAAATATTGGACCTTTCAACATTCACAACTCAATATAAAACCATTTAATTGATGAGGAATAAGGAATATCAGATAGATGCCTGGAAATGAATGAATAATAACCGTGGTATAGAAATGGCAAAATGTTGTAATGATTCTCACTGTGATGTGTATTTAAAATTCCTTTAAATAAGTAGGATATAGCTTTTTGTTTCTTTATTTCCAGGCTAACTTTTATAATAACATGTGTAGAATGAATATGTAACATATTTATCGGAAGTTCACCACATTCTTATATACCATGTTTCATGTGAATCTCTGTGCAGTAGTAAGTGCATGAGTTTATAATCTTTATCTCTCAGGGTGGGTCTTTGAAGTTAGGTCCCAGTCTGGTGCTGACAGTGAATGGACTATTGCCCTAAACAGCTTGGCTTCTCCATATGTGCTGTTTCTCCTCTACTTCAGTACTGTCTTCTCAGTTCACTTAGTAGGAAGCTTTCACTACTTTTCTGTCTAAATTGGAATGTGCATGGTGTTGTAGGAATCAATCACCATTGAAGATGTGACCATAAAATTCAGCCCAGATGAATGGGTCCTGCTGGGCACACCACAGCAAAAGCTGTATAGAGACGTGATGCTGGAAAACATCAGTCACCTGGTTTGTCTTGGTGAGTTCTTTTTATTCCAGTTTCTATCTCCCTATAAATATACCTATCTTCAACCCCATGTTTAATCATTCTATCATTATCTACAGTATATGCTCCTTAACCCGTTCTATCTCTTACATATGACAGCTATGTCAAAGATAATTTCATTTACATTTGCACACAAAACACTCTCTAACAGAGTCTTTAAAATTATTTCATGACTTAATGTAATTAATCTCCAAAGCTGATCACATCTGGGAACTAAAGTTTAGAGACTTTATAATTACATCAGACATTATACAGGTGATTGCTATTTTCTGTACAGTATGATGAGGCATGTGACAGATATGAAAATATAATGACTGTGTATAATTAAAGAGCTTATATTTTAGCCTATTTTAAGTTATATTCCCTGTGCCATGGAAGTGTTTACATCTTTCACTGTGAACACACATTTGGAGCCCATTTTGAGCTCTCTATATTTTTTCATTTGTAGCAGTACATGCTTGCAGTGCATGGTTACATTGCTGTGGAGAGTTGGTACATGTATAAAACTCACCTCAATTCTTCATTCTCCTTTTCTTTTCCTTTCTTCTCTCTTCCTTCCCTCAACTCTGGGTTCGCATCATTTTTGCAAAAGATGTTTCTATGTATGTTCCTATTTCCCATTTTGCTGTTTTCATCTTTATTTACATTTGTTTTTCTCAAACAAAAGCACAATTCATGTGATATTTAAGCTTGTTTGTCTGATAACTTTTCTCTCATAACACCTTCATTTTGTCACAAATGGTTTAAGCTTATCCTTTTGGAAAGACTGATAGTTCTATATTTGCTTTAAATTCACAGAAGAGCACCAGTGTCTTGAGCACTACAGAGCTTGGGTATACAGAGCAGATTTTCTCCTAATCTAACAAAATTCCTTAACTATTTTCCTGCTTAACACATTTCAGGGCCATTTTGTTTTTATTTTAAAGAGTAAAGAACAAACTCAAAATAACAAAAACAAATTCAAAAACAGAAAACCCACAAAAAGTATAAAAGTATACAGAATTTCACAACAAAGTGATAGGAAACCATCAGTGGTTGTTATATTACTTATAGTTATCTTCTAATTAGTTGCTCAGTTTACCAGATATAGGTAGACTGGATTGATCAAACAGTTAAACATTAACTATTCTTCTCAATAAACCAATAGAAATTAGTAGTACAATTATCTTAACTATCTTCTGTTTATGTTGTTTATGTCTGTGTGTTCATATATATATGTATATATGTATATATGTATATATGTGTGTGTGTGTGTATATATATATATATATATATGTCCCTTCCTTCTTTCTTTTCTTCTTTCCCTCATCCCAGTTGTTCTTTCCTATTAAGTAGTTTCTTCCTTTTCACTATGTCTATTGTACCTTTCGGTTTTATTCACTTTTTCATGTTCTTACACTAGGGAGGCAATATAGTGTTTACACATGTGTGTCTGACTTACTTCAGTAATCTTTATGGTGTCTATTTGCATCCATTTACTTATGAAAGCCTTGAGTTTATTTTTCTTTATAGCTGAGTAATATTCCATTGTCCGAAAACATCACATTTTTCTTATCTGTTCCTCCGTTGATGTGTATTTGTGTTGTTTCCAAAATTTTGTTGTAACAAACAGTGCTACCAAGCACATGGGTGCCCATATACAGCTGTGGTATGATGTTTCTTACACTTTGGGGAAAATATACAAAAGGGAATGGCCAGATTAAATGGGGCTTCTAATCCTAATTTTTGAGCAATCTCCAGACTGATTTCAAAGTGGTTGCCTGGACTTTTTATTTACATTCATCCTATTTATTCTAGGAAGACTCCCTTAGACTTTATCATAATGCAAAAGTGTTTATTTCCATGAGCTTAATAATCCACCTTGTTGCATTCTCCTGTACAGCACAAGAATATGGCAAGCCAGATGTAATTTTTAATAGAGATGAAAGAGAAATCCTATGGATGATAGAACAAAAAGACTTCCCCCCAAACCAGACTCCAGGTAAAAATGAGATTAATATTTTAATATAAAAGAGATTCAGGCCCATGGGTATGATAAATACAATTTTAAAGGAAATGATCCATTCTTAAAAATAATATTATTCCAGTAACTGGAACAGACAATGCCTAAAATTTCTCCAGCATTGTAATTATTTCTTTGATATGATTTTCAGTTTTCATGTATTTTTGTCTATTTTGACTTCAGAATACAAGGATATTTATGCATATAATGCAGTGAAACTTTTATGTAGTGACATTTCTTCTCATAATTTACATATATCATTTTACCTGTCTACTTTCTGAGGCACTTGTCTCCATTTATTAATAATCTAATCCTGAAAATCCTGTACAATATCCAGTTAATTGTATTTCTTAACCTATATTTCAATTTCACATGTCCTATCTGATCTGCTTGTCATAGTCCTCATGTCATTTATCTAAATGGTAAATATTTTAATCACACCAAACCATAAGAATTAGTTTAGCACAATTATATATGCATAAAATACGCATTGATATTGGTATAACAAACAGAATATCCAGATTGATTTACAAAATTACTGCACTCCCCCCCAAAAATACTAAGAGCATTCATCATAGGATGTGAAATATAACATTCAACCTGTCACATTTTCTACATTTCTTCTCTCCTTCACTTATCCTTCTTTTTCTTGCATAATATTTTACCTTCAAATTTTATGTCAATTCAAGCACTGTGATTGGTTTTTCCTATTTCAAATCCAAGAGAAAGAATGTAATATTTGATTTTCCTACTCTGCCTTATCCTGTTGAACAGATTTACAGTTCCATCCGGCCTTTATTTTTATGTTGTTTATGAGTAAAGCATACTCTGTTATGTATACATATGCCATAAGTGACCTTAGGAAGATAGTTGTACTGTTCTGCATATGAATGAACAGTTTCTCAAAGCCATTTGCTGACAAGGTTGCATTTTTATTATTGCATATTTTTATCTCTTTTTAAAGATGTATATGCATAAAGGTTACTGGCTGTGCTTTATTTGGTGTAAACTGCAGTATTTCACCTGTCTACACTTATGCCAATATGTTGCTGTTTATCCCTCTATGTCTTTGTGGTATATTTTGATGTATGCTTCGCTAACACTTCCGCATTTGTTTGTTTGCTCATTATTTTTCATCTTTTTTCTTGGTATATTGTCCTTGCTTATATATTTTTGGATTATATTTCTTATCCTATGAAGAATGCTCTTAGTATTTTTTTGGGAGTGCACTAATTTTGTAGATCAGTCTGGTTATTCTGTTCATTATACCAATGTCAATTCTGTTGCATCAAAAATATGGGATACGGGTTTTGTCACTTTACATACTTAGGTAATTTTTTAAAAATATGTATGGGAGCTCACAATATCAGAGGTTTCCTAATGTGGATTGCTGGCTTTAAGTTGGAATATCATGGTAGAATTGCCTCGTTTATACCAAAGCTTCTTCAATTCATGGAACCTGAAATAGAAATTATTATAGGAAAGTTTTCAGAGAGGTAGGGATCAGGGACAAGAGCACTTTCTTTGAGTTCATGAGTTCACTGCAGATCTTATTTGATGCAGACTTGAATGCTCAAAATTATTTTTAGCTATGAACTGATCAACACATTAACCCATTAATAAATAGAGTGCTTGCAAGATCTGTTCATATTCCCAAATCCAGCCCTCCTTATGCATGGGAGTTCTGGGTGATTCTCTAGATCTGAAATATAAAAGAGTTCTATCTTTTAGCCTATGGTTACAACTATTTATTTAGTAGTCTGAAATCTGTTATACAGAATAATTTTACCTATTTGATAAAGTATATTTTGAGTACATATTGTACATATTGAAGTTTTTGTAAATAGTAGATTCCCTGGTTATTTCCTCGGTGTTCAATTTTTAGCATACAAAAGGTCTGCTGCTTTCTGAATCATGATGTTATTTTGCCATTTGGTTAAATTTACTCTTGAGACCCAAAAGGCTTCTGATTGTTTCATTAACAAATATGCATACTATGACTTTTTCTGTTTGTTAATTTTCATCTTTTCTTATTCCTATTCTTTTATGTTCTGCTCTTCTTCATTTGCTTTGGGTAAAAGCGCAAGTAATCCTTGAGTGGAAGTGCTGAGATGAACTCAAATATATTTCCTGATTTTAGAGTAAATATTGTCACTGTTTATCATGTAGTATGATGCTGACTCAACATCACATATAAGTTTAATAATATAGACACCAGGTTTATGTAGTTTGTGCATGTGTTTATGTCACTGTTATGTTTAATTTATTGACAAATTCCTTTGACTCCATTGATGATCTATTCTTTCTCACTGATTCTCTTTATTTGATGTATTGAATTTCTGACTTGCATATGTTATAACGTTCTAGTGTTGAAGTAATGAAAAATTAGGTATAAAATATTTACTGAGCACTTAAAATGGAAACACTGGAGATTGTGAAGCTTAAATAGGTAAAACACATACAGCTATACATATAGGCAAGGTCTTCTTGAACTGGACACTAATTAGACAGAAAATTAAACAGCATCATATAAATGGCACTATATCGAGTTTAAATGTTTCTTCACAGCAGATGAATCAGTCCAGTAAGGAGACAACATAAGGAATGGGGAAAATTTGCCAGCCATTTATTATATGGAAGACATTAATGTGGAAAATATAAAGACTGAAAAAATTATATCACCTAAAATAAAAGACCCGGTCACATAATGGGCAAGTAGGATAGACCAATACATAACAGAAGAATTACAAAGAGCCAGCACACGTGAAAAAATTCCCAACATCCCTGGCCGTGAGAGAAGTCCAATCTAGACCAGCATGAAGGTTTCTTACACCAGAAAGAATGGCAATCTTGAAGTTAAAGAGTAGTGACCGCTGGTCTGTCTGTGAAGAAAAAGGCACCTGGCTTAATTTTGAGTGGGATGTAAACTTCTAAGTATGCATATTTCTCAAAGAAGTGAGAGTAGAAATTCCATATGATCCACATTTCCCATTGAAAATACTTTTCCAAGAATGCTTTATACATCATACAACAGTCATATATGCAAAGCGAGGTTTATGGCAGCACAATTCATAATAGCTAGATCCAGGAATCAATCTGTATCTCCTTCAACAATTGCAGGTATCCAGAGAATGTGGTGTCAGCACACAATGTGATACTCTTTCACTGTAAAGATTGATGAATTTGAGATGTTTGAAGCAAAATGGATTCACCTGGCAAATATAATGTGAGGGAACTGAATCAGACACAAAACTTCAACACTGCATTGCATCTCTCACTTGAGTAATGCAAACTAAGAATAAGAGAACAATAAAAATGAATAGAGGAAAAGAAATGGCCTGGCTCCCTCAAAAATGTGACGTGGTCGCAGAGACAGAAGGGAGGATAAAGGTGAAGGCTAAGGAAGGATGTATAGTATGCCATGTACAGATTCAAAACTCCCACCGTGAATATGAGCAATATGTGTCAAAAACATGATTGAAGAACATTAATATCAACCAAAAATGAAAAAGAAAATGGGGGAGGTGGACAGAAAGGGGATTAAAAAGAAATGAGCTGTATTTTGTACATTTACTCACCCCCAAGATGAATGTAAACTTCATATACAGGAAACATGAACTAACAGAATAAAGTAAAATTGTAAACATGTAAATATAAAATTGTTTTTATGTTTTACAGTTCACATCAAATTCATGAAATTCATCTCTGGTCTTATTATTTATCTGAGAATTCTTGGTTTATTATTGTTATTTATTTGACATGGAACATTTTTTTCTGGAGACATCTTATGTATAAAATTGTAAATTGTAGATATAGCCTTACATTTTAGAACTACAATCACTACGTCCCAAATTTTGAGGCATATCGTGTTCCCATTATCATTAGGTTCCATGTAGTTTTACATTTCCATGATGATTTATGATACAAACTACTGAGCACTCAAAATTTCATCAATCAATCTCCATATATTTGTAAAAATTCTATCATTTATTTACTTGTAGAATTCTAATATTCCATGGAAATGAATGTCCTTTGGAGAGCAGCAGATACATGGTACTTCATGGGGTTTATCATTTTAATTTTATTAATTACATTTAATTATTTGCTTTGTAATTATTTTAGAAAGAAAGAGCACACATGAAGAAGAGGAACAGTTAAATACTCAAAGTACAAAGAAGAACAAATCATGCACCATTAAGCACAGGGTAAGTTTTAGATACATTAATATTTGCACAGATAGAAAAGAACTTTCAATGAGAAAAGTTATTATTTGAGGATAATAGTATTCTATAAGACAAGACAAAGGACTCAATCATATGGTGTGGATACCTTGAGATTATTTAGAAAGTAACATATTTTCTGGATTATGTGTGAACTTAACAAAAAAACTATAGTTTCGCTTAAACTGAAATACTTCAAATCATCATTAATGTATTCATTATTTACTTGTGATACTATAGATAAACATATTTTTCTAACCTGATAATTGGATTCTATGACTGTGTATGTAAAAAACACTAATTTCTCTAGAATTTGCTAATTGATCTAGAATTCATGATTAGTAAATATAACATATGAAGGTATATTGTATGATAAACAATGGTTGATTTCCCAAAATAGATAAGTCATACTGACAAAGACCATTCAGTTGGAATGAATTGAAAAAATTAGCTGACTAGTATGACTTCATACATTTCTTAGATCACACTCTACATTAACACTGTAGACTTAAAGTGTATAGAAACCCTGATTGTGAATTCATACATGAAGAGACAAAGATATATTTCATTCAGACAAAAATTATACACATAACCAACATGAGAAAAACTCTTACCCCCACCAATCACTCAAGGAACACACTATGACTTATAGTCGAAAGGGACATATAAATGTTATATATTTAGAAAATGTTTCACTAAACGGTCTGAACTTATATGTCCTAAAATGTATGAATTTCATTTATTGGAAAATAAACTAATGTTTCAAACTTAAACTGCAGGAGAATGCTCAGTGTGAAGAGGTAGATTTTGAAGGAAATCAATGTGGGAAAACATTGACATATCCTTCTGCATCCAGAAGACATCAGATGACTAACTCTGGAAATGAATGCTATGTACGGGGAAAAATCTTCAATCAATCTTCTAAATTTTATCAGCATCAGAGATCAGATACCAGTGAAAATCTGTATAAATCTCATCTTTGTGGGAAAATCTTGAATAATTTATCAAACCTGGAAACTCATATAAGAACACACACAAGGAACAAAACTTATGAATGCCAACTGTGTGGGAAGGTCTTCCCTCAATTATCTCACCTTGGTGTACATGAAAGAACACACACAAGAGAGAAGCCATATGAATGTCATGTGTGTCAAAAAGCTTTTGCTTGCTCTAGTACCCTTACAACTCATAAGAGAACACACACAGGAGAGAAACCATATGAGTGTCATCTATGTGGGAAGGCCTTCTCTCAAAAATCTAACCTTAGTATGCATGAGAAAACACATACAGGAGAGAAGCCATATGAATGCCATGTGTGTCAAAAAGCTTTTGCTCATTCTAGTACCCTTAAAACTCATAAGAGAAGACACACAGGAGAGAAACCATATGAATGTCATCTGTGTGGGAAAGCTTTCTCTCGATTACATCACCTGAGAATACATAAGAGAACACACACAGGAGAGAAGCCATATAAATGTCATCTATGTGGGAAAGCCTTCTCTCAATCATATTACCTTAGAATGCATGAGAGAACGCATACAGGAGAGAAACCATATGAATGTCATCTGTGTGGGAAGGCCTTCTCTCAATTATCTAACCTTAGAAGGCATGAAAGAACACACAGGAGAGAAACCATATGAATGTCAACTATGTGAGAAAGTTTGCACTGTATAACCTTCCACATGTATGCAAGGGAAAACACACATAACAGAGAAAATATATGAAGACCGTCTGTGTGAAAAAAGTTTCAGTCAATAAGGTAACTTCCCAAGCATAGAAAGCACAAAGCAGATAAACCACATAAATTTCATTTTTATGCAAAAGCTTACACAGTATATTCTTATGTTGGACAGCATGAGAGGACTCACAATGGAGATGAATCATAACACCGTTCTCCATGTATAAAATGGATATTTCAGGATTCTGTACTTTCGTGATGTGACTGACCACCTATAAATAAAACAATAAATGCCTACAGCAGCGATGCTGACCTCATGTGAGAGAACAAGAATGTAATGACTGCAGTGGGCATTGCTCAGCTGCCTTCTGATAAGTGGGGCTTGTCTGGAATCTTTACCACATTCACTCTAGCTCTTTCACCCAGTATTGGGATTCCACTGCCTCTTACTGCCATCTTCCCCAGTCTAGGTGCTTCGGATAGGATCTCTCTTCTACCACCTGAACATGCACAGTCCAGCTCCCATAGGACGGGTCTGCAGGATGTGTGCCCTCAGTAGGGCCACCACATGTCTTATGTCTTTACTCTCAGGATCGTCCCTTGCTCTTTGGGGCCCAAATATCCCCAGTATGCCCAGAACTGCACACCATGCATCAGACAGTTCTAGGCTCCTCAGATCCAGCATCTGCCGAGATGACCAGAGATGGGGCTGTACATGGCAGACACCAGGTCCCTTTAGACGGAGACATTGGTTTCCAGGCAACCAGGGTGGTCCCATGGCCAAATCAACTCCAACAGTCATAGCTAGCGTCCCACCACTGGTCCTCATCAGTTTTCTCCAAACTCCTCTGCTTCATTCCTTTCTTGGTTCACTCCACGTCCTGCAATTTCCACCTGAACTGCAAGGCTCCTTGTCGTCTATACCTGGTGTGCTATACTTTGACCCTGTTTCTTCCTTCACACCCTTCCCCAGGCTTCTCATCAATTTATCCTTTCAGAGGCCCCTCCACACCCCCAGGGGACCCTGCTCAGCAATTTATGGGTTCCCATGGCTTCTGAACATTTGCAAACATCCCATTCCGCACCTGTCTCCTCTGGTGCTCCACCTGTAGTGAGGGTTCTCCAATCCTGCACAGTTCTATCCGCCCAAGTTCCATCCACTAGCTTCCCCTAGGTTCGCTCTGTGGAGAATGGGGCTCCCTGGTAGGCAGAGAGAGCACAGAGACTCAGACCGCAAAAGGGAGAAGAAAGGGAAAGGAAGAGGCTGCATTTTGTTGAAAACAAATGGGTAGAAGTCGCAAATGCAGACGTTTCTTACCATGACCAAGCCACCACAGCACTTGGGTGACACAGGTCCTACCCCTTCCACCAGCCTAAAGGTGAAGGAGATCCCATCCCTGGATTAAAGGGGCTACACAAACCCCAATAAAACCAACAAACAGGCCCCATGTGTGGGCTTCCCACCTCCGGAATCTCCTCTACTTGAGAAATGTGTGCTTTGCTTCTTTGCATTAAAACTCATTTTCACTTGGAAACTTCCTTACACCCTTTCCGTTGTTGTGCTGGACTGAGTGTGAACACGGGAACATGAGGGTGGTGTTTAAATCACAAACCAGACACCTCTGTTTACCTGGGTGTCCGACCCGTCGGGCTTGGTGCGCTTCACCCCTCCTCAGCTCCTTCTCCACCAGTCTTCCCTTTCGTGCCTGTTTGCTGCTGTTGTCCAGGCCCAGGGTCTTTGCATTTCTGCTGCTCAACTTACATTTATCTCAGTGTCCCATGCACCGCATTCCTCTTCTCTCCAGCTTTCCTTGTGTCCCTCTGTATTTCTCCTGTCCACTCCCACTGGAGGCCCTCAGTGCTCTTTCGTTAAACTTGGCTGTCCCCTCTGAGAGTTCCTCACTCCAGGCTCAGCTCCCTCCACCCACCTCAGTTCCTTGCCAGCCTCTTCATGCCCCTCTGTTCCTCATGCCAGGACACCATTTCTTTTGCATCCTTAAATCAAGGCCTCATGCCTTCTATTTCTCCTGGGTGCCTTCTATCCACTGTGTGATCCCACACACTGGGCTCATGGTTCCCTGCCCCTTTTGCAGCCCTCCACAACTTCCTGTGGTTCTCTTCCCAACGCTCTCTGCACAGCTCTTGGTTGCCCTCCCCCCACCCCTCCAAACTTCCCAAATGCTTACCTCAAGTTCCTGCAATCCCTGCTTCTGTCTGTGTTTGAGCTCGTTCTCATTTAATACTCAAATCAGGATGGGGCAACCCATTTCTCCTACCCTCTAAACCACTACTTAAACTGGAAGTCTCATATAGAAGACTGCATGCAGAGGGTGTTAGTTTCCCAGGCTTCTGATTTTAAAGAATGGAAAGAAGGGGCTCTGAGGGTGTTTGTGTCTCTGTCATTGGGAAATCCAGATTATTACCTTCAGCCCATCTAAGCTTTGCCTGTCGAGGACTATATGGGATGCAGTTACACATAGACCGTGCTGGCTTATCAAAGGAAAAAGCTTGGGTTGTTGGAACAAGTCCTGGTACTCCACAGGTTCTTCCTAAAGTTGTTTGAGTCACTTTAGTTTGCATTCTGTGGTTCATCTGTTCTCTAAACATTCATGGATAGAAGTCTTCTATTGTGGGAAAGAGAGGTCCAGAGGTCTGGTTGACGGCCGTGGTAGAGGAGCGAGTCTGAGCACACTCGGACTCATCATGTCCCCGGCACACCGAGTGAGTCACCCTGCCTAGGCTGTCCCGCTCTGACCTCTTACTTCCGCACAACCCCCGGCCAAAAGTACCGCCTCCAAACCACGCCCCTAGCCCGCCTCCATTGCCACGCCTCTAGCCTGCTCAATAAAATGCCTGGTACTTCCGCAATAAACCGGATCTGCACCATCAGCCTGGTCTCCGGTGTCTTCTTTGCACTGTGTCGCCGCTTACCACGGGCCCAGGTCCCTCGACCCAAGGAGGTTCAACCTCATTCTATTGTCTAATTGTATGTGCTCTGCTGCATGCCCAAAGGCATGAAGAATGTGTTTGGGCTGTGTTTGTATTCCATACATTAGTGTCATGAGACTAGGGTCTGTGGGAATTTGGGATTCATATACTTCATTACTTTAATAAAAATATAAATGCATAGGTCTCCACTGGATTTCCAGATTTAGAATACTGATGTTAAACTCCAGGACTTCAAGAAGTAGTAAGCAATGCAAGTAACAATTTTTATTAACTAGTTATCAGCACAGGTTTGCTCTGGTATCTCCTGCATTACTTTAGAAGTATCCCACTTGAAAGACAAAGAACTGCCCAGGAGCCCCATATTTATGCTTCATTTGAACATTGCTCTGAGCACATTGGCAGTGCTCTGAGACAGGAAGTATGATGGTCGCCTGAACTGCATTGTATTCCTCCAGGTCACACCTCACAACAAAGTTTATTCTTTGGTGTTGACTCTAGGTAGCAGATACAGGAAAAATGACAGAAAATTTCTCAGCAGTAATATCTGCTTTCAAGAAGGTGAATTATTGACCTTTTACATTCAGAATATATTCTCATACTAAATCTAGGAAAGTCTATGTAAATTTAGTATCACCTATCCATTTAGAACCTGTTATTCATGGGAACTGTCCAAAACTTGCTAGAAACACTGAGCTTCTTCGCACCAGGACAACTTACAAATATTTCTTTACTATTGAAGGGTGAGGTATACAGTTTATAGGACCTCTCTACCAACAAATGTGATTGCTAGGTCCTCTGATGAGTCTAGGTAAACTTTTTGTGGAAGTATCGAGGCAAAGCACACTTCCTGTGGCTTTCCATCTGCCTGAGCACTTTCTGTGACTGCATGTGTGTGTAGAAAGTTTTCTAAAGCCTTAGGCTGCCCAAGCATTGTGTCCTAGTTATGGCCAAAACATCATGGGTTGCCCTGCATTGAAAAGTCTAGAAATCAGAAGGAATGCCTCACAACTCACGTTGTGAGTCCTGTATCTCCTTAGCACCAAATGATAGGACTGTAAATAACACAAAATTATAGACCAGTTGCCTCTATGAAGACAGACAAAAAAAGATCCACAAAAAGTATTAGCCGGTTGAACCAAGGAATGTGTAAGAAGAACAGAAATACTTTCAACTCCGGTAGACTCTGACGGCAAAGCTATGAGAGCCCCGAGCTACACCCCTTCCTGCCCCGCATGGATTCCTCCCTACCAGCCTCACTGCCTCTGCTGTCCTGCTCTTCCCAAATCACAACTCCCTGACATCGCCTCAGCCTTCCAGTCATTTCGCACTCCACTATTCTCAGAATCCACATTCCCAAGGGTCACATCACTCTCCTCAGTCCGGAGGAGGCGGTCACAGCCCTGCAGGATTTACACACAGGGGCAGGTAGGTGGCGCGTTTCCCATGTGGGAACCTGAAAGAGGTGCTGCGGTAAAATGATCATGGTGTATTGGGCATGTTAAATGTATATATATTTTTTCTTTGCTGTGAAATTTTCACATTATTTCATAGTTTATGTTCATACATTTATTTACCAAAATCTACCGGAACGATGGTGCATTATGTATCTGTTTCCTGCAGTGCAGGCTCTTCATGCCCTCTCTGCTAACATCAATCCCCAGGGCAGGTCCCTCTCCTTCCGGGATCTGGCTCTACTGCGATGAACCAGTGAAGCAGCCTCTCTCCTTGCCCGCTGTGGAGCCGTAGAGTCTCTGGGCTCTTGTGGCCCTGTTAGCCGCCCTCATCAGTCGGTCTCTCCTCGCTCCCAGCCCCTCCCTTCGCCCGTCCCTTGCCCTCTTCACACCATCTTCCTGCCTCAGTCTTCTGCCCCTCACTGTCAGGCCAGCGCCACTGGGATCACAGCCGCAGTCCCGGACCTTTCTTCACTTTCATCTCCTTCCTCCTCTGCTCCCCCGACTCACCCTCACTCTGGAGCTGTGAGCAGCTTGTGCTCAGCACGTCCAGGTTTCCTCTTCCATGAGTCTCTTTTCATTTCGTCATTCCTTGC